CACTGTAAAGGAGGCAGTCACCTTTTTTGCCCGAATAGAGCGACGTATGTTTTCATCTCTGTAATCGAGCAATGTTTGCAAAAGTCACTCAAAATTAGTGACATTTGGAACTGAAAACGTCGCAAATGTGACTCTAAACGAGCGACTTTCCAAAATGTCATTCCCCCAGGAGTCACCAAATTTGATGGAAAATGTCGCTCTCCCAAGAGCAACTTAAGTCACTCCCCAACTTTCAGTGAGGAGGTGCACGAACTATTTCGCAAAAACAAAAACAAAAAATATATGTGCATCTGTTTGACTTTACTAGAAGAGGGGATGGTCGTCCTCTCGTCTACGTCTCCCTTTTCTACAGAGCTCTATCTCTATATATATCGCCAAACAGCCTAACCCTTGCCCTGGCCTGCGCATGCGTGAGCTTGTGGTAATCATAGATAATACATCACAATATGATTTCTCTTAATATGCGTAATACGTATCATCTGGTTTCATTTCCGATAGTGATTCGAATTTCTTTAATGTATTTCCCTTTCTCGTTATGGCTCTTCATATGAGGCCGCTCCTCATCTTAAGCGGTCTGCGAACATCAGTCCGTCATGAAGTGCGCAACAAAGACAGTTTCTCTCCCTCCCCCCCCCCCTTAGCCAATCACGTTTCGAATGACACGTTTGACTAAGCGGAAGGGCATAAACCGGACGGTCCGCAAAGCTGCCATAGACGCCACGCGGACGCGTAGACACATTTCGCACTTGCTCTGCATATCCCCTCTCCTCCTACAGCAGCGCAAAAATTCGAAACAACAGAGACGGAGCCGTGTCACTCAGAACGACTCAGAACGCAGACCCGCTACCGCTGCAGCAAAAACGCGATAGCAGCGTAGCGCCGGTAAAGGGCACAGCAACAGGGGAGGAGAGAGGGGGGGGGGGGCAAGAGGACGGCGAGATTGTTTTGAATAACCCGACACGCCGCCACACATGACTCAGGCTCGCTGGCGCTGGGCAGCCGGGAGAGAATTCGCGACCAAGCTCGTGACCCCCTCCACCCCCTCTACCCAGTTCCTGAACGTCGTTCAAGGATCGCGTGCATTACGTCGGGATCACGAGGATAACACCGGATTACGTGAATTATGCGCAGATTATGGGCATTATCGGATCACGTAGATTAGGTGCGAATCACGCAGATTATGTGAATTATGTACGGATCACGTGGATAATGCGCGGATCCACGTGGATTATGTGCAGATTATATCCCCAGCGCCCAGCCCACACTGATTACATACCGGATCAAAGACGCAGGTGCAGGTGGGTTTGCCTACTCAAGGTGCTATGGCGCCTTACGGGCAGAGTTGGCAAACCCGCAAGCTACTGCGTTTTTAATAAAACGACTAGCACAATGAACTACCCCTCGACTGTAGTTGAAGTGAAGTAGTTCATATGGTCTCATAGAGGTGAGAATAGTTAACATAGCGTTGAAATAGC